CTGCTGGCTAGAAGCCATCTCAGCCCATCTAAGCTCTCTATCCCCTTAACTCTGGCAAGACTAATTTTCCCCTACAAATACACTACGAAATAGACTACTTTTCAAATGTATTTTCAAACGACTATAAATTAGATTTTCTTACCAACTACACATCACTTCCAGAGAAATTCCACACCCACAAGGAACAGGTATCTCTGCATTTCAGTTGCCATATGGCAAACTGACCATGTCCTAACACCTCATTTCCCTCAGCTGCAAAAACCACATTGTAGGAAGAGAGCTGTCACTGTGTTTCCAGAACCAGCTGTGCTATGAGCTCCTTGGCATCCTTCATGCTGGAGGAGATCTCGGAGCCATCTTCTGCCACATGGGTACCAATCAAGAACATCTTCCTCTCGTCCCCAATATCAGATAGTGCCAGAGCATCGTGAATATCAGTGATGCAATACGCACCTTCGAGGTCCTGATGTGCAAAAACAAAACAAACTTGTTAGTTGCAGGAGGTGGCAGCACCATTGCCACTGCCTTTGTCCAAGGAGGAAAGGGTCTCCAAGGCTCTAGGGGCACCACTCTTAATACTTGTCAGTAAGATCAAGTTTATATTCCCCCGAAGTGCTTTAGGGGAGGAAAAGAAAAAGAAAGTTTATCCTTAACCTAATTTATTTCCCAAAGAAATACGAGTACACTTCCGTTTTCAGTCATTCCAGTGTTTCTGATTACAATGTGTGACTATCTGCACAAGGCAGACAAAAGTCTTGCTGATCCAAGACCCCAGCACGGAGTTACGAGAACAGGGCAAACATACAACAGTCCTTCCCTGTGCACCTTCTAAGCCACCAGCGCTTCTGACTCCAGGACCTAGAGAATCAGCAGTAGCATTTGTGTTTGTTGAATCCAAAGCCTGCACTTTTGCTCAAGAGTAACATAACTACTAGTAACATGCCTAAGTTACTAGAAATTCAGGAGGTAACAACACAGAGTAAACAAAGCACACAGCCCTCATAAAAGAAAGTCAAGGCTTAAAAGCCCCAGGCTGTTCTGTTATCCGACTGTTCCACAGGCACAATTCTATTCCAGATACAGCTCCAGTCACTGACACTTTCACAAAGGTCTTAGGAGAAAGCACTGCCTTGTGAGGACAGCTGCTCTTCCCTCACACTTCAGCAGCAGCCTTAGGAGTAGCCAACCAGTCTGAAGGCAAACAACAGTGCTTCACTTTGCAGCTTCTGCTAGGTAAAGTGATACTTTTAGACAGACATTCAGAACACCATGTCTAACTATGGTGTCCCTTGCAGTTCTCAAACTTTGCAGCTCTACAGCAGTTTTCACCACTATTTTCACCCACAGCTCTGACTGCACCATCTCCGAGCACAGGACCTGCACCTTGCAGCTCCAAAACTCCAGGTCAGACTATTTTCTTTTGTGGTCAACAGGTGTCCCAGAAAGACCCTCTGCTCCCAGCCTAATAGCCTCCTTAAGGGCATGAAGCCTCCTTTGAAAGGCTTTGTTGCTGTTTTCAGAGCTGCTCCCAGTCCAACTGCAGTTAGCTGCAGGTAACTCTTACCTGTTTGTTGGCCAGAACCACCACCGGCAGGGTGGAGTTGTTCTGGATCAGCTGATGAAGCAGCTGTTTCGCCACAGGCAGTCGGGCATGATCAGCCGAGTCCACGACATAGATGAGCAACAGCACTTTGGGCAGGTACATCTTCCAGTAGGAACGCAGAGATTCACTGCCCCCAACTGGAAGAGAAGATAGCAGGACAAGATTTACCAAGCAATCCAAGCAGAACCATTCCCAGAGGTGCAGACAGCAGGCCCTGGGATGAAAACCCAAGGTATTTGAGTTAAAAACTTGAAGCATTTTTGCTACCCTATATGAGACTGGAAATAGCTTTATTTTCCCCAGTCAGGTCCCATGCAGGCATACATGAATGCTCTGGAAATAAAAAATCTTTCCATTCTAAGCTCTTCTTTTGAGAGGATTCTGGATTCAGTTTCTTTACAGTTGCTTCCTCCCTTGTTGGTTCTTGCTCTCAAGCTAGTAGGGAGAGCTGAAAGATGCTCAGTGTCCATAAACACCATGTGAGAATGTTCCCATTATAACCTATCTCCATATGCCCATCTCAAGACACAGCAGGCTGATAATTTTAAAAGTAGAAATATAGCTCTGGGGTGGAGAGGGCTCTCATCAGATTTGTATGACATGAGGGGCTAGTTCAAAACTCGCACAGCTTTCATACTGCAAATAACCAGAGGTGTTTAGGAAGAGAGAAAAATCAAGTTGCATCAGACTATGCAATCCTCAGGTGATGGGATGTAAAGGAAAGCTGTCCACCTTCAAAATAAGGTCTTGTAACAATTCTGTGGTGAAACCATATGCAGCAAGTTGCCTGAAACTGCTGTTTCCATTGAGGACAAAGAGTTGGGTAGATTGCCAAGTTTGATAGGAGCAGGAGTAGCAATGGGATATTAAGTACTTCAGATGTGTTTTCAGTTCTCCAGGTCTTCTCACAGGCAGAGTGCAGAACCATTCGCTCAAGAGTCCTGAAGTGCTCAAAAGGCATGGGTGAGTCCCCCAACTGCAGCAAGTTTTCAAAGTTCCCTGTAATTGTCTCCTGCCTTATCCAGGAGCTCTTTTCAAAACTGACTTTTACTGTCTTCAAGTGACTTTGCTCTGTTTCAAAGCAATTTTGCTTTCACTTAAGTCAAAATGGTCCAGCAGCTTCAACAATGTAGAAAGGGAAGCAACATTTCCCTCTAGGTTGTGCCTGAGTCTTCTTCAGGTGCCCCAGCATATCCACAGGCAGAACTGCAATCTGCCACTGTGGAAAGGAGTCCGAGGGCTGTGACTGACAGACCCATCACACTTGGCACAGATGCCTCTGATTCGTACTGTGACATTCTGGGGACTCACCACTGTTCCCTCTGTTAAATGCATTCATGCGTAGCATAACCCAGGGGTCAGCAACCTCAGAGAGAACATTTTTTTTATTTCCCAAACTAGAAGGAACTCAGAAGCCAGGAGCTCCTACCCCTTTCAGAGGCAAGATGTCAGCCCCTTATCTATATGATGGCACAAAGAAAAAGATTGAACAGTTTTCTATCTGTCTAAGTCAGCAAAATAAAAACCCTTCTGTCTGCTGATCATCTTATGCCATGTGATCACAGCAGACTGCTAACCCCTGGACTAGGCGATGGTACAGACTGGATAAATAACCAGATTAGAGAGCCATGCATGGATTTACCTGGCTGAAACTGGCCTGAGACATTTCATTTCCCATGGGTCAGATCGCAGCCATCACATCTCAGTCACTACCAACCTGGACCAGAGAGGGAAGGACGACTCAGAAACAACAGGTTCTGCCGTGGGGTGCACAGCGCCGGGCCCAGGCCATCCCCAGGGAGGAGGAGAGTTACTGTGTGTTTCTCTGGGCTCAGCTATGCAAAGCACATCCCAGTAGGAGACATGGGAGTCTCATACCTATTAGGAGAGGGGCACAGACGACAAGCATCTCCGGATACTAAGACACTGCAGAGACTCCTACAGTAGTAGAACTGGAAATAAACTCTGCTTTAGCGGCCTCATCCTCACATCCCAAAGACTTACCTGGAAACAGCACAACTCCTTTAGGTCTGCTGACAAAGGTACAGAGGTGTTGATGGGCTAGCTGCCAAGTGAGCCACTTGAGCACTGCTACGCACAGTGAAGAACAGCAGGAAGCCAAGGGCAGCTTCCATGTCCACAGAAGGCAGGCAGCAATGAGGCTAGGATGTCAGCCTCTCAGTACCAGGGGCTGACCTAACTTCAGTGTCTCTGCACCCTAGAACAACTGCGATATCCCAAAAGCATCACAGGAGGTGCCCTCTGCAGGCATGGACAAGACCCAAAAATCAGTGCTCAGGAAAACATAAAAGTTGAGTGAAAACCTACAGATATTCAGAAGCCATTAGACTAGAAAACATCCCTTATGAGGCTTTTGAACAAAAAGCGTACACAGTTTTTCTCTTCTTCCTCTCTTCTTTCACCCTATACCTCTTCTGCTCTTGCCCTTTGCCAGGCATGAGCACCAAGGAAAAGCTGGACAACAGGCAATGCCTAAGGACCACAGCATGGGTTACTGCAGACACCTCTGACTTGACATCATCAGGCTTGTCACCCTGCTCTCTCTGGGAGCTGAACTCCCTAGAGGACAGGGCTGAATGAACAGAGATCTCTTCTTACATCAATGAATCATCTCGTTCAAGAAGTTGGGTGGATAAACAGAATACTCAAGGAGAGCATAATCACAACTTCATGCTATCAGAGCAGACAAAAGGGAGTAGTACAGTGGTTTTAAATATGGACCTGATACCCAGGACAGGAACTTATGGTATGTTGTGTTCTACAATAGGCTCACTCACTCTCCAGGAACTCCATCTGGGACTCCTCGGTGCTGATGCAGATGGCATTGAAGCCCTCGGTGGGAGCCAGGCTGCGCTTGACCTGGTTGGTCGCCAGGGAGTGGAGCACGCTGGTCTTCCCGGCCCCATCCAGGCCCAGCACCAGGATCTGCTTGCTGTGTCCTTTACCCTGCAAAGCGAGGGGCAGCGCGCTCAGCCGGGGCGTCCGCAGAGCCCGGCGGGGCTGGGCAAGGGGAGGCTTAACGAGGGGGCTGGGGAGAACCGAGGCGGCAGAGCGGGAGGAGCTGCCGGCGGGCACGGGAGCGGGGCCGCACGGCGGGCGGGATGCCGGGAACACCCAGCCCGGCCGGGCAGGCAGTACGGGGCTGGGGAGGAACGCGCGGTGCCCCGGCCTGCTCCCCGCTCCCCGG